AGGCTGTATGCCATGTTTCTGAAACAACTGTTGTCATTGACAACATCATTCCTTTAATAAGACACACCTTTAATAAAATCACGAAAGATTTATGTAAATTTGTACTTAAGCATTATAAATCCATTTCAAACAATTTACTTAAACATAGCAGCTATATAGAGAAAACCCTTTCAGTCAGATTGAAAATGAAATCTTTTTAAAAGTTTGATTTTGATGTAGGAAGTAACATGCTACAATGAAAATTAACACTAGTTTGATTAATCATAATTGTTTTTTCTATTTCATTAATCAAAATGAGAGAAATTATATGGGTGAAACCAGTCATCTCTTCTTTACATTTTAGCTAAAAGATGCTTTTGGTATTGCTAGGATATCAGATTGAACATCAAACACAACTTGAATATCTTCTGAGTAGAAGTTATGTTTGGTCTTCATGGACCAAATGTCTGTAGGAACCCCCTTCCCCTATTATCACCTTACTATTTGTAACAATATACACAAGTTTTTCATTGTCTAGCTAAAACATGTTTGTCTGGTGTGTTTTAAACAAGACAAGATATAATATTGAAGTGTTTTATTGTCAATGAGCTGTCATCTGAAATCTTAAACAAGACAAGATACGAAAATTTAGTCAATGGACTTCAGACTACAATTCATGAAAAGAGAGGTTCAAACAAAGACTTTTCAATTAACACATGAATCTGTTGCCTCGTAATAATTCAATTTCAATGCTCATTACAACAGTATGCATTCATACTTGTTTTCAATTTTTATTTGCAAATTCTAAAACATCAATAGTGATCAATGTTTTTTCAATTATTCTTGTTTTTATATCTTTTTTCAGATGTTTTGTAAACTCAGTTTGTCGCGACATGTTTAATTATTTTTTAAGCAGTACCTTTTGAACACAATGTGATTTTAAAAACTGTAATTTTTTTAAAGTATCCTTAAGTTACAATTTTTTTTCTGAACACGTCATCATGATCACACCAAGAACACATAAATAATATTGAGAAGAATTGTCTTGTCATATCAATCTACATGCCACGCGACCTCCTCTGCTAATAATCACGAAACTGAAATCAAAGGTAGATAATTGGTAACTCGAATGATCTTGTTTGTGAAATATTCATTACCTGTATTCATTGATACTGACAGGACCAAAGTTCGGAGTTAATGTCTCATGCAGCGGGTGTAATCATATGTTTACTGTAGACCTCATTCACGAAGATAATCAGCTGTCAAATTTTTGGATCATCATTATGTTTGTTTCCTATGTAACTTTAAAATTGTCTAGGAGTCAAACTTGGTGAAATCTCGCATGCTATTATGGAAGTAAAGGACTAAACAGAGAAACAACAATTTGACAATACAGTTATAATACTTACAAATAGCATTATCTCGTTAGCAAACTGTTAAACAAGGTTTACAAATCAGTAACTAGGTAATGATATTGTAATTGAAGAAAATACAAGTAAATATGATCTGAAAGGCTGACCAGATGCTGTCATGGTTTTGGACATGATGCAATTTAGTTTCACATATATAATCTGAAAAACTTTTACACAAACACTCCTCTAAGCATCCCAATCTTTCATTGTGGAAACATGAATCACATATTTCTTAAATATAAACATTCATTTTGATTATATTTCTACCATTATTTTCTACTCTAAGACATTCAACGTAAACAGGATGTCTAAATTCAACACAGTACAATATCATTTGTATTTCCCTGTATATTTATTAAAAAACAAAATGTAACCATGAAATCACCTTCAGTTAATTACATTTTACAGAGAACTTTTATGTATGGTGAGTTTACATGTCAGATTTCTAACCCAAACAGATCAAATGTCTTCTTACCTACCCAGTTTGAAAATATTCTGTCCACATTGTCTTAAGTTTTTATCTGACTATTGATAAACGTCATGGTGTCTAACTTTACTTCAAATAAAAAACAAATATGGAACAGACTTCAATAGTACACAATATATATACCCCACAGACAACTAAATACATCATAATATATCTATACATATTTGATCAGTGAATTATGAACCATATCCCATAAGTCTGAACAGCTAGTTAACCCCTTGCAATAAATTTAAATATAGACTTTATGCAATACTGATATTTTTCACATTAGACTGAAATAACAAAGCCTGGAAGATCATAACCAAAATGCTTAGACATTTGAGTAAAAAACCACAGACCATGATGTATACAGTACTGATATTTATCAACTGTACCATGAATTGGACGACACCAAACGATAGCCATTATCTTCAGTGCTGGAAGGATAATATTACAACATACAAGAAGACAATATGTCTGAATAATGCACCATTGTTTTATTGTCTGTTTTAACCACTGGTAAAGAAAACTAACTTCCAAGGCCAAGAATTTGCCACGAGTTCAATTGAATTTCGCAATAATAGCTTAATTGACATTGTCATCACACAACAAAAATGCTGTCAATTTTCCAAAACAACACTGAGTTACTTTGACACGACCCCTTAGGCTTCTTTTGGTAATTTGCCGTCTGTGAAAATATGTGTATAATTGTGATTCTTTTTTGTTCTTTCCTTGGCTTTTAACATAGGTGTGAAGATATTGATAATTGTACACAAAAAATTGTACAATATTAACATAAAACATTTATTCAAAGCCATACTTTACCTTTGAACCCAAAATGCGGCAAATGCCACTTGCAGACATCGGTCACAACAATGAATCGGAAGCAGACCATGGAACACATATTGCATGTGTTTTTGTAATTCCGATTGCTTTAAATTACTTATGCATGCCAGGGCACAGTTTTTTTACTACCATTCAAATAAAAGAAATTTTTATTTCTGGTGAAACAAAACAGTTTACCCTTGTGAATTTAAACATTATTCATTCACTAAGGCTAAAAGCACAACTTCGTAACCAGATACTCGAGTAAAGAATTTTCATGTCCATTTAAATCTGGGGTTTCTTGAAATTGGAACATTTGTAAGCAAACCAATCAAGGTGCTGAATTCTCCTCTACAAACACTTGGTTATGTCTATGGCTAAAACAGTGTACCCCCCATTGATCACTGAAGCATGACGACATTATCTTTAGAATTCAAAATAGTCAAATTTTAACGGATTTTACACAACAAAAGAAGAAATACCATTCCTTCATTTTTTATGTTTAACGAAAATTTGAAACCAATTATTCAAAACGATATGTGTGAATGAAAAAATTGTTCCATTTTGTATACAAAATACTTTTCAACCTAAGGAAATTAAATTTCAGTTATGGTATCCGATTATTCTGTACTTTTAAGTTACAAAATAAGTGTGATTTATTATTCAAAAGGTTTTTTTTATGTTTATTGTACATTTTGTAAAAGCCTGTATGGACTTGCTGAATCAAAGAAAAAAAAGTATAAAATGTTCAATTATTTCATCAGTGACAGATAATGTTACAAAATTCTCTTCAATTTTTATAACTGTATTAAGCACCTTTAAACTGAAAATAACAATTAAAATCCAAACTGAGAGATAAATGACCCATTAATGTATACTAACAAACTGAATCAGACCTTGTCATAACAATATTGAATACCTAGTAGTTACAAGCATGGTTAGCTTTAAAATTAGCAATGCCAACATGACAAAAATGTCCCGATTCAGGTGTGAAAGTGAGATACATTAATACCAACATCAACAAATTTATATGATCATCTGAAGACCTAAAATAATTTTCCAACTTCAATCAGTTACAGTAATAAAAATATCTCAGAATGTCATCAGACAAAGCTGTTGACAAATGTCCATCAAACTAACTTTGTAAGATTTTCTCTTTTTTTTTTTTCTATTCTATTTTTATCTTTTATTTCATTTATAAACAACTTTGCTTGTAGCAGGCTGGGTAAATTCATCACTTCATGACAAATTTCACCAAAATATCTGCTACTGTTGAAGTTTTCAATACAACAAATATTGTCCATAAGTAAACACTTCCTCAAGTAATCCTATGTTCATTTAACTTCAACCAAAGAAACTTAATACAATTCAAATATTGATATCAATTAGCTACCCAGCAGAATGATGATAAATCAACACAGACACTTTCCATTTCCCTTGTCTGACCTTTAACCTTTAAAACACAATAGCCAGACCCTCCAACCAATTAAGTCTAATCAACAAAGTCAACAACCTGTGACCTTGGAAACGGACGCCAGTGACCTTGAACAGGGCGTTGTTGTCTGTCACTCAATCAATTCTATCACAGAGGTCATCAATTTCACCAACTCATGGGCAAAAAAGATGTCACTTTCAATAGTTACCATCTAATGAACCCTATATGAATCAATGGACTTGTTTTATTGAGCAAACCTTTTATGGAATTTTGTTTGGCACCTATTTATCAATTTTCACCATGGTCAACAATATGTCTCCCTCAACATTTCAATTAGTCTACATTAAGTGTAACCACTCTTCATAAATCTTCAAAGATACAAATACAAGGACTAGGTTCCAGACAATTTCTGGCTTATCATGAAGTATAAAATTTACAAAGTTTGCTATATATACCTGGTAATATTATTGTGGTCAAAACCTTTCTTCCAGTGCAAACAGATTCTCAATCAAAATCTGTCACAGGTAACATAAGTAACGTAACTTTCGATAAGATGACTGTAGATTCAATAGAACCCCATCTTCTCCAATGACAGTGATATGTTGTACATAATAGTTTGGATTATCGCAAGAGGATCATTTTTAGCACTTTGAATCTTATTCAACACTCAACTTATCTCAACCTATCGTAGAAAGGACAACCTGTATGCAGTAATTTTGTAACACCTAGATTTGCTTCCATGTCCTAATACCCACGATCTGGAATCGTAATTGAAATGTATTTCATTAATTTCGAAGATGAAGAACAAGTTCATACAAATTCTTTTGCCCTTGCCTGGAATAAAAACATTCTCATACAAAAATTGTAACAGATTCAAACTTACTGAAAGCTTTCTATTCGACGTTGACGAGATTTCACTGAAGCACTGTTATTCGTGTCTTTTGGTAAGATTGTATCATCCTGTGTTCCTTGCCTGTTTCTCTCAAGCTCTTGTAATTCACGAGCTCTTTGTAGAAATGATGATGTTCTCAGAATGCTGACATTTGGTTCCAACTTTGGAGATCCCCTGTAAATACACAAGATATTCTCACACTGTACAAAACATATACGTCTACATAATTAAAATAATTCAGAAAAAATTCCTGTGAGGTTAAATATACTGCAAGATTTATTGCCATATAAACAGCAATAGTCATTTTGACTCATTGAGGTAGCTGGTCAACACATTATTGAACATCATGGGGAAGGCCCATTGAATGCCATGTATGGCAACTGAACTAAAGTGTCTTGCCCATGGCCACAACAATGACAACACAGTATTGGCAAAATTTCTATGCTTCCTCTGAAACATTAACCGCTGTGAGTACAAATCAAATTAAACATCCCTGAGGTTTATATAACAATGTTGTACATCTGACATCCCTGAGGTTTATATAACAATGTTGTACATCTGACATCCCTGAGGTTTATATAACAATGTTGTACATCTGACATCCCTGAGGTTTATATAACAATGTTATACATCTGACATCACTGAGGTTTATATAACAATGTTGTACATCTGACATCCCTGAGGTTTATATAACAATGTTATACATCTGACATCACTGAGGTTTATATAACAATGTTATACATCTGACATCCCTGAGGTTTATATAACAATGTTGTACATCTGACATTACTGAGGTTTATATAACAATGTTGTACATCTGACATCCCTGAGGTTTATATAACAATGTTGTACATCTGACATTACTGAGGTTTATATAACAATGTTGTACATCTAACATCCCTGAGGTATTCTACTAACAAAGCTATATATAGTAATATGCACATGCAAATTTTCAAAATCGATGGTCATCTCAGAAAATGCTATGATAGAAACCTACCCACATAAATTATTGCTTTGGCATAAATATGGGCCCCAATTTTAACTTTTTGGCTGTAAGGTAGTCTGAACTGATGAAGAACTACGATGATACTGATTTATCACTGTCACAGATTTATCACAAATTTCTGTTTTTCCAGATTGAAAATTATCATGTCTGAAGTTTGTTTATGTCAGAAATGTATTGTAGTCTGAATTGACAACATCAGCATAATAAAATCTGCAAAGGTACAAAAATGGGGCTTCCAAAATTATATTTCAATTTTAGATGTTTTCATGTAAGTATACAAAATGTGTTATTTCATTTGGAAAAGTCAAAATAATGAGAAATCGTGATTTTATAATGATTTTTTTCTAGCCCTTAGGGATGAGAAAAAGACATCTGTTTATAAAGTTTGATCACATGTTTAACCAGAATTAACATCAATTTTGTAACCAAACCAGCAAAGATTTCTTTAACATTATAGCTGTATGCAACATGTGGTTCGTCTTTATGGACCACAGATATTACACAGACCACCTAAACAATCCCTCTAAATGACAAACACATGCCAAGATCTATATTATATTGTTTGATCTGATTATAAAAAGACCTATACCTAACAGCTTGAAGAAATATATTGCATTAACATATTGAAATTTTTAAATGATAAAAAGTTTGTATAACAAACATATTGCAGTTATCAGACAATACACCCACGCATGGTAATAAGCCCACATAAGCCTACTGCATTTAGATTAAAACGCTGACAAATAATATTTTATTTTCCTGTATAAGCCCATCCCCTACTTTAACTCAAGTTTTATGTTCAACAATATATATGGTATGCATCCATGCTTGGTGATTGGAGCTAAATGATAAATGTCTGCATCACATATAGGGAGCAAAATGTGTCTTAAGGTCAGTAAAGTGAAAAATATAGGTCAAGGTCAGTGAATTGAAAATATAGGTCACTGTGACCTAAACTGGACATAGTCCCATAGTTTGGCGCCTTTTTGAAAGTAGCAATAGCAGGATATAGACGAAGCAAAGAAATAACAGTGAGCAACACTAATGTCAGGAGATAAAAGCCTGATCATGGTTAGGTGATGTATTATACAGTTAAACAATAGATACATAGCATTATCTCAATAGTGGTGAGACATTGATCATGAGGACAGAGTTTTACATAACACTGACAGTCTGACTCCTTGTGTTTCTAATAGTATATAGTTCATGGTGAGGAAATTCTTATCTGGGACTCACAATCGGAACCCCAATTAATTTGATTTACCATATAAGGTAGTGATTAATACATTATCAGATAACTTATTGTAAATTGTACTGACGCAAAAAAAAGGTAAATAAACAAACAAATCAATACAATACCAGTACAGATGTATACATTCAATCTTTTCTTATCACTGCCCATTCTTAAATATTTACTAAAAGGCTTGACAGCCGTCTGTAAAGGGAGTTACTGGGATGTATCAAAAGCATATAAAAAACAAATCAATCTTTTTACACGTACCTGACAGAACTTAGGGAGTGCATGCACTGCAGCTTGAACAGGGGAACAAAGCATGTCATATTGAGTATTTTAAATGACACCATTAGTTAATTCATCTGCACGAAGTCAGAGTCAGGGTGACATGTACCATACATCATAGACAGTTACATTTGTTGACAAGTTCAAATTCGTATCAGATCCTTGTGGCCAACTTTTTCTAATCACTCAAGTCGCTACAAATGACACCTGGGTATAGCATGTAGGAAAAGGTAACCCTGATCCTATTGTTTTGACAACCGGAACAAAATGTCACATGATGAAAGACTTGGGTAGCTAGGAGTGCTCCAAAGCAAGGCCTTTGCGTCAAACAGGACCAAATCTTTGACAGTCCCACAAAAAACCTGCATGGGTCCATTTTTCTCTTTTTGGGATAAGAAATTCCAAGCTTTCAAAATTTTTGCCCTTAATTGTCATGAATACTTACAAAGTTGGACCGTCTGAAGTAAAATGTGTTTTTCACACAACATGGTATATATTTTACAACTTTGATGACCTATGTTGGAGAGTTCAGGATGAAATTTGTAACCTGTTTTTTTCAACTGTTTCATTGTCTTAATGAAGTGGTTTGTAGATAGAGAAATAATCACAGAACTTAGACAGACCCTCCTAGTTACAATAGAACTTGAACAATAAAATCTCTTAAAAATCAAAAATATTGTTTATATCTCATCAGAGCTCCTATAATTATTGATGTCATGAAAAAGAAATAAAACAGATCAATTTTAAGCTAAAACTGTAAAACATCAAGAACAACTGACTTTAATGCTCTGTGAACTATTTCATATATCATTCAAATCATGTTTTTAACAGGTGAATCAAACTCTATTCACAGGTGGTATTTTGCAGGTGGTTGTATATAATCTGTGATACAACACTGCTGGGGCAAGATTTATTTACTACAAAAAAACAGGAAAAATTAACAAAAGTTTGAAGCAACATCAAAGGACTAATATCAACATCACCAAGAGAAGCAGTGAATTTAATCAGGTATGTGATGGCAGATCTTATCCTTTCACCCGATCAAATCTAACAGGACCTTTATTGTATGAAATTAATGAAGAATTTTTCCTTTCAGATTAAGACTACTGATAGTAAAATCTGGCCAACTTGCAAAGAGACCTACCAGAGCGTAAAACCTAGAACTTACAGGGCAAGTTGACCTTCCATACCGATCTCACTGGTACTTAAATTTCTACTAAATCAAAATAACTTATATCAATATTTGAAGTGATATGTATGTACTTACAAATCGCAAATCATGTTCATACATTCCAATCAGAAAATTACGGCACATTAGTATCTTTTTTTTCCTGACAATTGCTATCATATTTTATGAGCTGTGGTATTTCAGCTCAACATGTGACTAACTTTATGAGCAGATATCATATCAACCTTGTACTGATTAAATTATTTAGATTATCAACGACTGATAATCCAAATTTTTCTATGACAATCATATCACCTCACAGTGTGCTGTAGATTATTTATAAAAAAGATTTTCATTCATAATAATTTTTTCCATATTTTCCTATCTTCTTTGAAGTTATCAAGTATTGACAACATGCAAATTCAAAAAGATCGGATAAAATGTAATCAAAATTGTAGAACTCTTTGCTTTCCTTATTCACACTTGTATGCAAATTAAAAACATGTACAGAACATGTGAATTGTTACCATGACAACCAGATTTTATCCAATAACGTGCATGAACAGATAATTCATATAAAACACATTGACCGAGAGAAACATGGTGTTTCCCCTTTATAAAAGCTGTGTAATACTGACATTTAAACTTTGTATATTGTCAGACAAAATCAATAACATTAAGTTTATAATGAAACTATGACCATATATGGTCATTTCTAGCTTTTATATTTTCTATACATCAATATTATAAAATAGAGTTTGATATCTGATCATTTTTAACCTAGTAATATGAAAACATTTTGTTTCTTTAGAACACAGAAGATTAATGTTGTGTGCAGTGAAATCCATCACACGCTGTGGGAAACAAGATGGCTAGATGAACCTATGTATATTATCAGACCCTGGGAGTTACAACATAAAGGTCAGATTAGACAGGATGTTATAATACAAAGGTACATACAAAGGAAGTTTTCATTAAATATAGAACCAACTTATTACCATATTTATCTGCCAATAAGCCCATGTCTGGTAATAGGTCTACCTGTGTGTATTACTGTTAAAAATATCCAACTAATGTTATTTCTATGTCCTGTAATGAGCCCCCAGATTTGGAGAGCTTTTGTGTTGGTTCCCTGGACTTATTGCAGGATAGGTATGGTATGTTACAGTTTATATTAGAGAAATAATCAGTATCAGGATTAGACATGTGACTATATAACAAAGTCAATCTGTCCAAATTTCATCGCTGCGTTTGACAAGAAATTTGAGGTTTCCAACAAGATTGTGCTCCTCCATAATAATAGCACACAATGAGATGTGTTTTATAGAATCAGTATCTACACACACTGTAGTATATCATTGTCTTTTACTTTCAATATTTTTGGGAGTACGTTCATCAGAAACCCTCCTTATGACCATTACTCAAAACTTAAAGAGCCATCTACATGTATAAAAGATTATACAACCATATACATGAGAGTT